TATTTAATCATGTACATGACGTCTGGTGTCTGCTTTTAATGGTAAAATAGCCGTTTGTAATATACATACTTGTTAGTTAAATAGAGAGAATTTGAATTTAATATTGGTTTTCAGTATTTTTGTTTACTTTAAAATAGAATATTTATAAACTTAGAAGAAGTATACAACTGTAATGAGTACAAGATACTCCCCCCCCCCATTTTTTTTTTCTTTCAGAAGGGTCATGACATTTAAAAAATGCTTCTCCACTTCTTCATTTTCCTTTATTTCTATAAATTTTTAATTCCCAAGATTATTCTTGGCAAAATAGTGGAGTGGCTTCCCATTGCCTTCACCACAGTTTTAACTTCAGCATGGTTGTTTTTCTCACTCAGTTGCAAATTGAAGCTAGTAAGCCCAATCTACCCTGATATTTTACTTATGGCTGGGGGTGATTAAAAGTGCAAAGTAAATGCAACCGGTCTCTGCTGAAATTTGAACCTGAGTTGCCAATTAAATTTTCCCTGGTGTTAATTGTTAGTCTGCCAACAGAATTTAAAATAAAAATGATTGGTTATATTATAACTGAATAATAGACAGCATATAATTTGGAAAACAAAAATATTAAAAATGGTTTGGGTGAATTTCTCAGGGAAAAATTTCTCAGTGTGAGCATTTCCCAATATTTGTGAATGAATCAAAAGGAAAAACTTAATAGGAGATCAACACATCTCACATACTCTAATACTTGAGTATAGTGCAAGTTTATATTATCAGTTTTCTATGCAAAAAATAGGTGGGGTGTCGCACTATACACAGGTAATAATTTTGAAGAGGTTAAAAATCATGCTTTTTTGGTGACCAGTTGCATGAAACACAGGTAATTTTTATTTTTATTTTTTCTGAAGGGGTTAAAATTCATGCTAAAAATTCAGGGGTGACACTGTACATGAAGTTGGCTTATACACAAGTATATACAATATAAAGATTGAATCACCTGTGTTTTTACAGGTTTGCTGTTGATAGAACCACTTGTGTGGCTTGTTCTGAATGATCCGTGTCTGTCATTTGCCACCATTTCTTTTTCTGTTTGCAACCAATCTCTTCAGGAAAGGTATTACCTTAATGAAATTGCAAGAGGCTATAATATGGATTGCAAACAACACAAAAAAAAAGTTTAGTAGTCTTGACTTGGAATGATAATGATACTTCTCAAAATTATAAACTTGTCTAAAAATTAGAATATTTAAGAATGATAATAATATTGAAAACATTTTTGCTTGCTTTATTATGGCTTTTTGAATCTATTGAGTTGTAATGTGTAGAAATATTTTTGTTTTTTCAATCAATTATTGAAAGGCAGTTTTCCTGTTTATGTAGCAATTCATCTTTCCTACTCTCTTATTGGAATTATCTAGTGCGTGTACTTTACAACTGGGTGATTTTACAAATGTATTCAAGCAACACTTTTCCTTTAACTAATGATCAAAGTAAACAAACATTAATATTTACATGCTTGTTCATTATTTGAAATTTGTCATTAGTCATACTACTGCATTATGATACTTTTATCTTGTACTCTTTTATCTTTATCTCTTCTTAATCTTTTTTTTTCCATTGGGTGGGGTTGAATCTCAGTATACAAGTGTATATGTCTTTGTTTTACAGCAAGGATGGTTATTAAAAAGTTGGTCTTAAATATTTTTAGGAAAACAAGAAAAGGCATGAGACTGCAAAAATGAAAAAGTTTTGTAAAACAAAAAAAATTTCTGCTGACCTATCCATCATCGTATCTTTGTTTTCATTAGACTGTCAACTGCAAAACTGCCCATCTGAAACTTGTTTTTGTTTTATTTACTAAGTTTAACATGAAACAAATCTACATTAATGAAATTTGTATTTAATTTATGAGCAAATGGATAAGCTTGATAATCATAATGCTATGAGGAGCTCTGCATTTTCTTTGGCATTTGTAAAATAAGTGGCACAAATGGTTAAAGTAAAATTGCTATATTTAATGTTTTTTTATTTACATTCAAACTAATGCCTTCATCTTTGTTATTTTTTATAAATAATTTTAGTAATTTTAACTGTTATTATTTATAGACTCTATAAAACAGTAGTAGTCACATCTGAAAGGGTTTTTGACAAGTTGTAACATAGGGAGTTACTACACAAACTCTCCAGTTATTGAAAACTGGAAAGAGTGATAACAGCTACTGGCCTTGAGAAATGTTTTCCTGAAAAATTGTTTTAAGAGAAAGATTTTATAAATTTCATCTGAAAGTAGTACGGACTACTCAGTCAATGAATGACAAGTCTTTCTTTGTAGAGAAACAGCTAATGTTACTATTATATTACCAAATGGCTAATATTACCATCACATGGCCCTAAGCATGTAACCCATGACCTTTGGCTCATTGGTATATTTTTTTTAAATCCAAATATGATTGAAAATATTAAACAACCTTTTATTTTAGCCATAATATAACTTATGCAATAAAGAATAAATATGGTACCCAATAATATTAAAGAAATAATAACGAAAAATTTCTCCATTAAGTAAATCATTTCTTTTCTTATACACCTTTTTTCCTAAAAAAAACCTTTTCATTTTATTAACAATGGACCAAAAAAAAACATTTACAAAAATATAAATATTTTCTGCTTCTTCCACTTCTTAGGTTATTTTTGGTCCCATGTGATCTCAAGAAAAAATTGGAATGAATATTTGTCAAGAGTTTATCTCCTACTGTCTGCTAAAATTGGAAAGGCAACATATTGCAGTCTTCATGGATTTTGGCTCCCTTTTTTTCTTTTTTTTTTTCTCAGGGGCTGTATATGTTCCTCTAAAACTATATCTGGCCATAAAGGGAAGGATATTGGTATTTCTTGATGATTTCAATTTCTATAAAGGTGCCAGAGGTCAGAAAAGACTTTTCTACTAGATCTCCTTCAGGAAACAATCTACTTCAGTACTTAACGTGAACTCTATAGATGTTGGTGTGCCAATTCATATTTCTTATGATACTTTATCCAGAGACTGCTATCAAAGCATGCTAAAAGCACCAGTTCACTTCTGATCATTAAAGTAGGCTTGAGCAGTATTTAAATGAGTAACTGCTTAGAGACATCAGGTATACTGATCTTGTGTCAAATTAAGCAAAGCTTAGTAAATAAATTATTGAAAAATTTCAATGGGTTGTAGAGACACAAAACCATTCCCTTTACCTTTTCTTATTAGTTAATAAATGCCAAAAAATATTACAGTTTATCTCTACACATTTCCACATTCTGGGGTGAACACTGTTAATCATAATTATTTTATAGTAGACTTATTGATAAAATAAGGGATTATTTTGTTATTTGGTATTTTTACTTCCCCTTTTAGTCCAGGTTGATTTCTTTTTCATGTCAAACCATTAAGGTGTTAAAAAAGATTTTTTTTTCTACAGACCTTTACTACAAAACTTGTTTCATGTACACATCTAAAGACTGTCTATATTTATACAATGGCACATGGTTATTATTAGCAGACCTCAAGAATTTTGAACCCAGATCTCATGATCTGGGTTCAAAATTCACCATGGTCAATTTGTCATGGAGTTGACTTGTCGGGGGATGGGGGACTTCTTGATAATATCATCCCTAAGGAGATGTTTCCAGTATACAGCACCATTGGAAAGTGCCTGAAAACCATACCACCAATTGACTTAAGCTTTGTGAATGAAATTTGTTAAGCAAAACTGTTCAGAAGCTGTTGCTAGTCATGTTAGCACAAAGTCACAAGTCATCATGATTGAGAGTTTGAGCATATTGGTCCTGGTCACACCAGACTAGGCAATATATCTTGTAACGAAGGTTTGTTCAGCATGTTTGCAGTATAAACCACAGGTCGACTATGGGTCCTGAAAAAAAAAAAATGTGCTTACCTTAAGAAAGTGTCTACAACAGGGATTAGCTAGCTACTGTAACAGACAAACTTGTAAATCAATAGTCAACCATATATATATATATATATATATATATATATATATATATATATATATATATAAAACCTAGTGAGCCGGTCTGCTCTATGGTTGTATTGAGCCCTTTTAGTTAGTTGTTTACTCGTGTCAGGGTTTTTTTTTTCTTTGGGCTTTAAACCTGTATCTGTGCAATTTGTTTTGACAGACTTTCATGTTTCTAGCTCTTTCTTTTTTTTAAAACCTTTTTTTCTTCAAGATTGATTTGATTATTGGCAAATCAAAAATTCAAAGGTTTTTTGAGACGAGTATAGTTACCTACCTATATATATATATATATATATATATATATATATATAGTAATGGTGTGTCTGCAAAACTTTGAAGTTGGAAGATAAGTCTATTACCTCTCTATCTATCTATCTCTCTCTCTCTATATATATATATATATATATAGTGCAATGAATAAATTATATGTAGATATTCAGGATTGCAAACTCTAAAACTTCTTGAATAGAAATACCTATGCCAGATTTGTCTTATTGTGATGTGAGTAAAACTTTGAGGTTGTTTTCGGCTGTTTATACATACAAACACACACACATTAAATGTATTTTTTTTTTTATCTAACATTATTTTTTTATTAATATAAACATTACTTTTAGTTGGTATATGTGTTTGAGGTGACATCCTAGATTTTATAATTTTTTTTAAACAGTGAAATTAATATCAACCAGCCTAGATTGAGAAGTCTTACTACTTTTTTTTTTTTTTTTTTTTTTAGGTCTATTCTTCCTCTACAACTTTTGTTTCTCATTTTATATTAATAACAGACAGATTTGTTAAAATTGTTGGTGAATAATAAGATTAAATAAATGAAAAAAAAAAAAATGAACTTATCTGACAACCTGATATTATGAGAGTGTTAACCTGGGAATCAACTGCATATCAACTAAATACTGATTCTCTATAAATATAGCACATTTTAGACACACACATGAAATGAATAACTCTCTTACCCCACCTAACAGTTTCCTTGTTTCTCTATTTCAGACTGATTGCCGTGCAATAGCCAGTACCTGTGGTATCCCTGGCTCAAATCCCCAGCTAGAAGTCCTCCTCCAGTGGATGGTGGCCTCTTATGTTAAAGCTCCCGTCTTTATTTTTTATACAAAACAGAGTGAGAAACTTGTCCGAGTAAGTAATTCAGTATTTTCTTCTTCTTCTTTCTCCTTTCATGAATGTAGAACAAATTGGAGCATCTGAAAATCTTTGCTTACTAATTATTCATAAAATTTTAGTAAAGGTTTGAACCTTAAATCTTTCATCTATCGCAGCTGTTTTGAGGTTTCTTATAGCCCCACTGAACTTAAATAAAGTCAATTCAGGTTTCCTATGGTAAAAATTTTCTATCCCAAGTAAAAATCATCACAAAAAAGGCAAGTCATTTTGTCACAGCTTATTTTCTTTCAAAAAATTATTACTTACCTTTATAGGGGTAAAATATTGAAAAATGACTGTTTTATCATCATCTAAACAAATATCAAGGAAACTTTTGATCTGAACACCATGAATGTATTTTCTGAAAGCAAAAGATGTATTCTTTCATTTAAAAGTAAAATTGGCTGGTGTAAATGACTCAAAATTTTTTTTTCAAGGGGTAAAATGTGAAAAAATAATGAAAATTTTGCATTTATTTCTAGTTCTAAACAAAAACTTTCCCCATCAATGGGAAATTAACTATTTTTTCAGGTAAATCAGAAAGCCTAAATCATAATCAAACTATCTCAGGCATAAAATTGGAAGTTTTGAAGGAAATCAATATTTCTAGGGGGTCAAAATGCAACAAAGTTCATTGGTAATTTTCAATTATATGACTACAAGGGGTTAAAAATTGATACCAGCCACAGAAATCTTTAGTAAAAGGCGAAAGATTTATCTGCAATTCCTGACCACCAGAAATCATTTTTTTTTTTTTTTTTCCAAAAAACAGCAGCAATAAGGAAAATTAAGCCAAATTGATTTTGATATGTCTGGGTCAAAGGTCAGCCAGCCAGCAATAAACGTTTAGAACAAGTTGTCATCAGCTTGTAATAAAACCCACCACTCCCAGATAAGAACAAAGAGTGAAAAAAAAAGGGTCAATGTTCAACATTGGTAGGGCTTGATATAAGGTTTGTTTTCGTTTTATTTGTTGTTTTTTTTTTTTTTTTTTTTTTTTCAAACCTATGGCTTGATGTGTTTTATTCTGTTTTGTTTATAACACTCCATGACCCAGGTAATGACAACAACACTTAGCAGATGACATTTTTTTTTTTCACCACATGTCTTTCATATTTCCCATCGCCAGGCCATTTAGCTGTTCCTTTTATTCAATGATGTTCACACCAAATTAAGGAGAAATGGATGAAGTTTGAATGATATTTTGAAGCGAAAATAAATATTTTTTCATAAAAAACGGTGATTTTTCTCAGAAAATTGGGCATAATTTTTTAATGCTAACCACCAAGTGACATTTTCCACAGCCAAATCAAAGATTAATTACCAGTGAATAATTCCATGTCCAAACAATAGCCGTTTTGATCCTATAACGTCGCCTGAAAAGATCCAAAAGTTTACTGATTGATCGAAAGCTTGTTGCGCATAATTGTGTTTTTCACTGTCAGTTTCCATTATTTCATCTTGATGTTGTCATTTTCGGACAGCCAAGTCATCAAGGATTCAGGAAAACAGTTTGGCATAGGTTTACTTTAAGAACTTTACATTCTATGAAGTGTTTAAAATGTTACCGACAAATGAGATTTTTCACTGAATATTTTGTTTACGCACCATGTTGGATTTTCCTATATGACAAAAACAAGGCTTTTATACAGCCATGCAGCATGATATCCAGTTTAAGTTAAGTAAGAGCTATTTCATGTAAACTATGAATATTATTTATAAAAAAACTATCCCAATTGACAGATTTTCTATCATTCTTAAACGTGGCATATGATTCAAATAAATACAAGATGAATCAAAACTCAAAGTGCAAGAGACAAGTTGTGCTAATTTTACAATTTACTTTGGCTGGAGTCATCGAATCAAAACATTTTCAGTTCTCATTACTACCATAAATGAACAAGTCATGTTAACATTTTTAAATAGATTAAATGCTAAACATTATCAAAATCAGGTGTTTCATATCACTCATGAGACCACAAGAAAGGTTTATACAAAGACATCAAAATTTTCTTTTCCTTCATGACACAGCAAATTCTGGTTGTAGGCTGGGGCAAAATTATTTTGTATTCTAGTGTGTATGTATGTATGTATAGGTACATGGCTGAGTGGTTAGAACATTGGCTTTCTGACCATGAGACCTGGGTCTGAATCTCATCAGAGTTGATTTGTCAGGAAGGAGATTTCTGAAGTTATCGATCTGGAGAGTGGGGACAATTCCAGTGTGCAGCACTTTTGAAAAATGCCTGAAAACCATACCACGGGTTGACCCAAGCCTTGTGAGTGAAATTGGGTAGATGGAAATCTTGGGGTCGTTCATGGTTGTGCTAGCATGAAGTCACAATTCATCCTGATTGAGGGTTTGAGTGTGTTGGCCTTGTTCAGACTGTTGACCATGCTAGATAATGCATTCTGTGTTAAAATATATATATGATTAATACAAATAAAATTTGTCACTTAGCTGATTCATATTATATTCAACACTTCGATTCCAGAGTTTCATAGACAAATTTATTTTGTAATTGTTCAGTCCACTCTTCAGGAGATTTCAGCAATTGACTGCCATTGTTTTTCTTTTTTTTTTGTTATCTTTATACTAAGATTTTTTTTTTTTTTTTTTTTTTTTATCAATTCATCCCAACCATGTGAGTTGGGAAGGTCTTATTATTTGTATTAGGTTGATTTTTTTTTTCCCTTTGTGTATGTGTTGGTATATATGCGTATGTATTAAATGTCATGTTTATTTTTCCTTTTCATTATCTTGTCTTCTTACACTCTCTCCTATTCCTTTTCTTTCTTTTTCTCTTTCTCTTTTGACTTTGAATTCGTGTGTGTGTAAGATTTTAACTTTTTTTTTTTTTTTTTTATGCTGCCCACTGAATTTATTTGTACTCCCTGCCACCCTCTTTAACTTTGATTTTTATATATATTTTAATATTTTTGTTGTTTAGGAAATTAGATGTGAATCTTTTTTTTTTTTTTTTTTTTAACTGAAATCTGTTTTAACATATTTCAGAACAATCTGTTGTGAATTGAAAATTAAAAAGATTTTCAGTGGTTAGGTATTAATGCAAACATTACTCATAAAATCTATTAATATCTTTTTAACTTGAGACAGAATTAGCTGTTCTGATTGTAAGAGTTACCTTCCCTTAACTGTTTTTTTTTTCTTTCTTTGCTGCGCACCCAGCCAATTATCAATTATCTGACGCAGTTATGAAGTCAAGTATTTTTTTATTGATTATCTGCACTTCTGAAAAGCAACCAATGGAGATTCTTGAATGTTACCGAGTCATATGCAACCCATATAGATGCCAGTATACCATAAGATTATCATAAATTTTTGAGATTAGAATTAGTACATCTATTGTTGATGATAGTGTGCACAGCACAAATAACCTGGGTATAACTGAGAAAGCTTGTATGATGGCTTCATATCTAGTATCTGTACAAAGCATTCAGGTGAATGCCTTTTTTGGCAAAGGCATGTGCCTAAAAACTCCTCTCTTGTTCACTAGTGCTGGAGTAGAGAATTATATTTGGTAACAACGTGTACACTGACAACAATCTGCACAGTGAAAATAACAATGAAAAGTAGAGAGAAGGGAAAAAAGTCATGGTTACCAAACTTAAATTAGAATGATTATTTAACTCTATTACTTTGTTTACAGTGTTCTAAACTGGATTTCATGATTTCATAGCTATTTAAAGATTGAGTATAAAGTTGATAACTTCCAGTGCTATTTTGACAGGTTCACAGCTAACCTGAAAAACAGGGAATTATCAGGGAATTGAAAAATAGTCACTTAAAAAATTATATATATAGGTTTAATGTCAGGGAATTTTTAATGCAAATTGATTTGCAGTGTATGACTTTTTTATTATTATTGTTTGAAAATGAATGCTAAATTTTATTTATTTTTGCTAAAACCAGTAAAATTTGAATAAAAATGTTTTTCTTTTTCCATTAATTTTTTTAAGCTGTGCTCTGGCACAGGGATATATTTAATGTCTTTCATGCAACATCCCAAAATCAAGGAATTTGAGTGGAATTTTCCAGAGAAATCAGGGAAATTCAAGGAATCTTATTCATTGATTACATTGGGAACTTTATTTAATGGGATTTGAGTTCTGTAGTTTCAAGGAAGTGTTTACCTTATGAGTCACTGATGTATTTGTAAAAGTTTCTGTCTCTGCAAGTGATCAAAGCAAGTGACTTGAATTTTCTTTTCATTTTGGTTTTGAGCAGAGCAAGCAGCAATATTGCTATCTGTTATAAATAAAAGATTTTATTTGGCAAACAAATTGAATCTGAAATCTTTAATTTTTTCTAAGATTATTTGAAGTTTTAAAGTTTTTTGAAGGCAGTCTACAAACTAAGTACCTCCACAAAATCATTGAAAAAAGAGCATACTGTGATGAAAAAATACTCTAAACTTGACAAAAACTGTTTTATTGCCAAAATCTTTCTTAAGAGGAAACACCAAAGTTCTTTTAATTATCTAATTATATTTTTTAATCCTTTTTTAGAACATTTGAAATTTTGGTTAAAAAATCTTTTCTTTTTTTTTTTTTTTTTTTTTTTTTTAGTTTTTTTTGCATCAGAGGCTGGATTATAAATTAGCATAACAAATTTTAGTATCTTTTTGCCATGAAAGAAATTGATTTGGAAATTCTTGCAGAAATCAAGTAATTGTTGGATTTTAATGAAACTTTCAGGATTTATTCACAAATGAATGAAATTATTCTAGAAATGGTCTCTTTTAGAAGATCTTGATAAAATATATAGTCTTTTTTTCTTTTTTTTTTTTTTTTTTTTACATGTGTTACACCCCACTTAATTTTATGAAAACTTGAGAAATTCAACAAGATAATTTTTATTGACTATATTAGTTAAAAGCAGAACTCCTTCAAGAATTTAAATCATCTACTTTTTTGTAAAATCCGACCCCATCCTACTGAAAATCTGTTTTGAATTGTAAAATAAAAAAAATGCAATAAGATTATTTAATTAGAAATGTTTTTAATTAGCTTTTATGAATGAGATATATTAAGGGCACTATTGTCTAAAGAAAAAATTTTTTTGATTAATAATGAATTTTTACAAGATTAGTTTTCATTTTTTTTTAAATAGAATAATTTATTAAGTTTTTAAATCTTTTAAAATTCTGTTCTAATGGTGTAACGGTAAGTGAATATTGTTATTAAGTAAAACTATATTTGAATATATTTCCTACATTTATATGTAAATGCATGGACGTACATGCATGTATAGAAATTTTTGTGGAATTTAGTTTGATTTAGAGTATAAGGCAAATGTAGACTTAAAAATTTATCTGATAGTAAGAATAGTGAATAATTTTTTTTTTTTTTTTTTAAAGAAACACTACTATAAGTGGTAAGTTAGACTAATTTTTAGGGAAGCATAAGTGCTAGTATAGGTTAGATTTGGGTTAGGTACACATGCAGGTTTAGTTAAAGAGTTAGTATTGTTATGGGATTAGTATTTAAAACATATAAAACATTTGGATTAAACTATGCAAGAAAGAGACCAGCTTGCAGGGTTAGGAATCTGTGGGAAGTAGCTTGAATCCAAACCGGATGAAGTAAAAAGACACCAGTATATAGGAGGAGAGGGTTAAAAGCCTTTATTTCATTGGCTGATGCTGACTGATGTGTATCAATAAGAACGGTTGGACTCCTAGCCATGTCGCAATATCTTTTTTGCAGTGTTGAGTTGTGTAGCACGGTGCTTTCAAGGAGGTGGCCTGACTCGTCTAGAGTCAGGTCGGGGTTGATGTTTGAGCCGATATGATGCAAAATCCAAAATCGGTGATGAGGACAGTGCATCACTGAAGACCACCCTTGATGCATCTAAGATGTATTATGCAACTATTTACTAATCATGAATCAAAAAACTTATTACAATCTGAGGTATACCAGTATTTTAAAATAATTTTGAATTGTTTTTGGATGTGTATAAACATGCTAATTTTTATAGATACAGATGTTTATACACAACATTATCAGAAAATAAGAGCAATAATTATAGTAAATTTAAAGCCAAAGTACCTAAAATACAATAAAACATTAGACTACAGAGAATATTTTCTTAAATTTTTAAGATTACTGAGTACATAAAATTTATATATAAAAGGTGCTCACGTTATATTCAATTATTTTTTTACAACTAAAGCCCCCATAGAACAACATTGGATAAACGTCCATCTGTCATCAAGTTTTCAAACAACAGATTAAATAAACAGCTACTGCTGTGTTAAAAAAGAAAAATGCATTTCTATGATATATTAAACTTAAAGTAAATAATATTTATTTCAAATCAAGATTAATTATACTTTAAATCTGTTAATATTCCTCAAATGAAGTTTCAGAAAAGTATATTTTATTTTTGGAAGATTTTTTTAATAAAAAGAATTACATTGAAATGACAGAAGGCTAAATTAAAAAAATTCCGACAGACAAACTTGGAAATGAGCAGCCAGCTATTTATCTATTTGTATACAGTAATATTAGTTTTCCATTTTTATTACAATTCATGTGTTTTGATGCAGGAAGAAATGTTGTTTTTAGTGTAAACAGAATTAATAATATTAATTTTTTTAATGGTATTTCTTTCATTTTAATTTTTCGTTACAGTAAGCAGAATGGATAAGAAGTAAAGAATAAGCTCTCCCTTGAAAAGCCTAACTTATTACCCCCCCCCCAAGCCCCAAAACACATCCAGTCAGGTCATATGTATCGCACAAAGAGAATGTCCCCATCCTAGTTATGGCTAAACTACATCCGCATCCTGGGTAAGACAATAAACTACATCCGACAGCAAGGCCTCTGATCAGCAGGTTTTGAGGAGCGTGGAACCACCTTTTGATTGCTGGTGTTCCCAGGTCCATCCTGATATGGGATGGTAGCACCTGTTAGGGTCCCCACTATGGGTAAATAGTTAACCCCTAAACTGGAGTCAAAACACTATGAAAGTGTAAAAATAAGTTTTAATACCAGAAATACTTTGTAAAAAAAAAATTATTACCAGCAATACATTTAAAAAAAAAAAAATTACCAGTGATACATTTTTTGAAGAAAAAAATATTACAAGCAATAAAAATTGTCTGTATTAAATAACCCATTGAGGTTGATGTGCCATAAAATAAACCAAACCAAACCAAACCAAACCAAACCAAAGAGAATGTGTCATCTCTTACATTTGTAAGAATAAATTCCTACTTCTCCACTACTTATAACACTTTGTATTTTATTTGTTGCATTCAAAGTATGCATTGTGTAAATTATTTTCCCCATTATTTAAAGTTGTCTTCTCTGTGTTGCTTCAGGGTCTGGGTGATCATGGCTGTCCACAATTTCTTGTCCTTTGTAACTCTTAGTAAATTTTGTCTTTTTGCTACATATTCTGCCATCCATTTACCCAAGCTCTCTAGGTACATTATGTGCTTCTTTCCTCTGTACCTCTTGCTTTCAATAGGTCCTGTGAGTGTCAAATTTTCTAAGTCCTCTTTCCTCCTTATGTGCACTAGAAATTTCAACTATTTCTTTCTGATGTTAAGAATAAGTGTCTTTTTTGTTTCCATTTTCTCTAAAACTTCATCATTGCTCATATGTTAGTCCATGGTATCCTCAGCATGCTTCTGTAGAACCACATTTCTGTTGCTTCGAGTCTCTTCTTCATCTGTGAGGAGGTTGTACAGCATTCACTGTCATATAGGAGGACCAATATTACAAAACAGTTCAGTACACGTTTTTAACACATTTTTCTGTTTCTTAATAATTTGCTCAGCCTTTTAGAAAGTATCTAATACCAATTCACCTTCAGATTTTGGTGTTGAACTTTCTGTCTTCTGTTAAAATACTTCCCACATATTTAAATTTTTGCATTTGTTTGATTATGGCATCTTCAATTTGTAATTCACATATTGTGCTCAATTGTGAACAATGTACTAAAACATCAATTGTAAGAAGACAGAATGTATGGTTATAAAATGTTATAACCATACATTCTGTCTTCTTACAATTGATGTTTTAGTACATTGTTCTCGCTTTCCTTCAATACCTTCTGTAGAAGTTCCTATAGTTAGCAGTACAAATTATGAATTACTTCCCCTTCACAATGTACTTATGATTCTAAGAATTTTTATGTCTCTCAGTAATGACAGGTCATACACACTAACAATAATTTGCATTTACCAATTAAGTTCAATTATGAATTTCAATTCTATGACACATTTTTCTTTGGTTTAAGGGGGAGGATCTCAAATTAATTCAAATGTTTCTTGTTTTTTTTTTTGTTTTTTTTTTTTACTTATTTATGAATCACAAAATTTGAAGTCACTTACCTGATTACAAAGTCTTTAGTCAGTAAGCTTGTCTTTTTTATTTTATTTTTTCTTTTCTTTTCTTTATTTTTTCTTTTCTTTATCTTTTTTCTTTTTTTTCTCTTTTCTCTCTCTTTTCTTTTTTCTCTTTTCTCTCTCTTTTCTTTTTTCTCTTTTCTCTCTCTTTTCTTTTTTCTCTTTTCTCTCTCTTTTCTTTTTTCTCTTTTCTCTCTCTTTTCTCTTTTCTCTCTCTTTTCTTTTTTCTCTCTCTTTTCTCTTTTCTCTCTCTTTTCTTTTTTCTCTCTTTTCTTTTTTCTCTCTCTTCTTTTTTCTCTTTTCTTTGTTTTAAAATTATTTCACTCCAAACAAGGCAATGAAGCCACTAGGACACAAGGGGTTACTAAGTGTTAAAGAATATGAAAAAAATTACTATTAAGGAGAGAGAACAATAAAAGAACATGAATTATGAAGATAATGATTGACATTGCATTTAAAATTTTGAAGTTCAATGATGATTGAGAAGCAAGAAGCTGAAAGAGAATTCCACTGGTTATTCAAAACAAATCTAAGATTTTATCACTGTTGGTATGTACCAATCTCTGCCAATAAAATTAACTAAGATAAATTTGTAATAATTCTGCTTCCAATCTAGTATGATGTAAACATAAACTTTTTTATAATAGACTAACGAGTCAATAGTCTGAACTAAGAATTCTATTAAAAAATTTTTTTGTCCTTTCTAAACATCATAGCACAATGATTAGCAAATTTATTTCACAAATCCATTTGCTATTGTAGTGAATTGTATCCTCACAGGATGCTCTCCTGTTGCGGCTCTATGCCAAACTAAACTTTAAAAAATCCAAACTGATTTTTTTCCTCTATTCAGGATTTTAAAAAATTCCTTGAAATCTAGAAGTGGTTGATTATGCTTGAAAAAAAAAACTCTTTTGTGAAAAGCTACAGTCTTTTTTAATTTCTTTGTTCTGATGATATATTCAGATGGATTGTGTATAGATGAGATAATTTATAACCTGACCTCATTTTTTATTCTCAAAGTCCTACTTATTGATGACCAGATTAGCTTGTGAATATTTCAGCTGAAATGTTTAGTTAATGTCTGCCAATCTTGGAGGAATTATACAACTGGGTCTCTGGCGGGCTGTTTCTCTTGCTGATCCATTACAGAAAGTAACCGAAGTAGAAGTCTTCATTCACAATTATGTATGTTGTCGGCAAAATAAGGTTGTAACATTGTCCTCGATTTTGACCTGAAACTCTTGAAGAGGGTGGCAGTGGTGATAGCTCTGCTAAAATCCTAGGTAATGTATGACCTAAATGTGAAGTCATTGTACAAGAGATTTTTTTCTTTCTTTTCTTTTCAAGTGCTAAGGTTGGTTGATTTTTTATTTACTATTTGCTACTTTTCCAGTACTGAAATTTCATAAGGACCTGTGGGACATAACTTTTTGCTTAAACGTGACAAGCGGGGGTATGGGTGGAGGGTGGGGTCTGAAACATTCCAAGACTGAAATTTCTCTTGAAATGTTTGTAAACATTTTGGAGACTTTACAACTCACCTTCTCTTCTTTCTATTTTCTTTGATCAGTTTTTAAACTAAGATTTTGTAAAAGGTTGAAAACTTGATTCTACAACATTTGTAATTTAAATTACTTTCAGCTTGTTCATGCATTTGTAATCAAATACTTTTTTTTTGTGTGTGTGTATCCATTTGTGACTGATTCTGTTTTCAAAAAAATCACACACACTTACACATTGGACACAGGATTTTTAAGAAAATAATTATTATTATTGCTACTAACCAAAACTTAAGCTAAATGTCATAAATACTTTAAATATAAGGAGAAATAAAGACATGCTTGTCTATGCATAAATTTATTGACAAATATAATGGAAAGTGACACACAAAACTTTTGGACAAATATCAATAAACAGTATTCAGTATTCAATGTTGTATCTGTTATTGTGATTTTCCAAGCATAACTAAGATGTGAAACAAGACCGAAAGTATGGGGCACCCAGTGAGGATCGAACTCACTACTCAGTCGTAATTGTTCTAGCGAGACAAGATTGCTAACCATTACACTGCCTCAAGGTGCATTGTATCTGTTATTTGATATGACAACTGTCAGACATTTAGAATGATCTGAAGTAAGCTTTTTGCAGAAATTAACACCATTCCTCTTAAAAAAAAATGCCATAAGATCCCTCAAGTTTTTTTTTAGATAACTCTGATCTTGAGGTTTAAGGTTCTTTTCACATATTTTCTATAGGGTTTCGGTTAAGTCATCCTAACACACTTATTTTCTCCACCTGAAACCACTTCATTTTTCACTGTAGTTTGCTTGAAATCATTATCTCAGTAGCTTGAGAAATTTCCTTGATAGAATTCTATTCCTCTCCAGTATTTCCCAATGCATAACACTATTCGATATTCCTTCAATGATGTGTAGTGTGCCCATACATCTGGAGGAAAAATGGCCCCAAGCGTATTTAACTGTTGGGATTGTATTTTAAGGATTAAATGTCTTCCTTTCCTCAGCCTTGTCTTGAAGTGTTTCCACCAAAGAGTTTGATTTGGTTTGGTTTGTTTTGTTTTCTATAGCATATCAACTTCAGTGGGTTATTTAATGCTGACAAAATTTTTTACTGCTGGTAATATTTTTTTTCCAAAAATGTATTGTTGGTAATATTTTTTTCAAAAAATGTATAGCTGGTAATTTTTTTTTTTTTTTTTTTTTTTTTTTAAACCTATTTTTACACTTTCATAGTGTTTTGACCCCAGTTTAGGGGTTAACTATTTGCCCATATCTGGGATCCTAACAAGTACTACCACCCCGGGTAAGGGTGGACCTTGGAACACCAGCAATTAAAATGTGGTTTTATGCTCCCCAAAACCTGCTGATCAGAGGTCTTGCTTGTCTGATGTAGTTTACTCAAACCCAAGACGTCAAAGGGTTTGATTTTAGTTTTGTTAGATTATATTTTAAAAATAAAAATCCACCTTTTAATTTATATGTACAGTGTGAGAAAAAAAAAAAAAAGCTCCAATTAGCAGTAAAGATTTTGACATTTTCACATATGCAATATAATAAATATGCAAATAAATATCTGAATTTCAGCTATGAGTTACTATTATTTAAATTATTTGGCTGAAACATTATGATGACAACAAAGATGAGAACATTAGTCCAAACATAAATAATGAATATTTCCAGTATTTTTTTTTTTTTTTGTACTATTGTTCACTCAATACAAGGTCCAAGAGCCACTCAATCTAGAGTTACTAAATGAGGTTGTAAGAGAGATAAGAAGTGCATGTTATGAGGATATGTAGGATAGATAATGATTGACTCTAGACTTGAAGAGATTAAGATAGTAGTGGTCAGGGAAGCATCCTCTTGGGAGTGTGTTCTACAAAGTGACAGTTCTGGGAAAGAACCTGTCTGAGTGAAACTTCCTCAAAGAATACAAAGAGAATGAGCTGACCTTGTGTATGTGGCATAGTAGATCCTAGCTTTTAAAAGTCTGAATTGGAAGAATTAAGAAATGTAGCTCATTTGAATATTTGCACCATGAAAATAGTGATAGAGAAGCAAGAGGCTAAGAACATTCGAGATGTGTGTAAAATATCATTGATTTCATTTCTGCCCTATTCAGTGTGAGACTAGAAATTTATTTGTGTGTGTGACCTATTGGGACCATGGAGGCACCATATTTATTTAATCCATACCAGCAGTGGTCTGTCTTGGACAAAATAGCCTGACAGAGCCCAGGCTGGTTTTGTATCCAGACTTTGAATCCTTCTCCTAGACTGGTTGCTACCTCAAGGTAAGAGAGCCCAGTCTACCTTTTCTTTAGGTATTAGCACAAAGTGAACAAAACAAAATCAAGCAGGAATTGAACTTGGCATACTTTTTTTTTTTTTTTTTTTTTTTAATCATCTCACCCCAAGCAAGGCAATAATGCCACTAAGACGCAAGGAGTTACTGAGTGTTAGAAAATATGAGAAAAAACACTGTTAAGGAGAGAGAACAATAAAAGAACAAAAATTAAGAAGACAGGCAATAACAATTGACATTGTATTTAAATTTTTGAAGATCAAACTTGACTGAGAAGCAATAAGCTGGAAGAGAGTTCCACAAGCAAGAAGTGTGAGAGAAGAAACTGTTAGCATAGAACTTAAGATTACATTTTGCTATTTCAACTGTAAAATGATGAGACCCTGCTACCAATTTAGTACTGTGTTTAAATTCATAAAGTCTAGGTATCACAGAGGACAGTTCATCAGAACAAATATCATGAAAGTATTGACAGTAAAGACACAGAGAAGCTATGTTAGGCAGTGAGAAAGTAACTAAGATATTGGTCAGGACCAATAACATTGCAGGTTCCTCTTTGGATTTTATCAAGAATCTCTAAATGCATAGCTAGAGCACAAGGCCAGATGTGGCAGCAATATTCAAAGCAAATTCACTTTTTGTGCCAGTATCCATTATACTATCTGTGCCTCCTTTATTTATATAATCAACATTAAACTAAATCATAAGCACTGTTTTAAGTCAGTCTTCACTTCATTATTTCCCAGAAGTTTTTGAGATTAAAATTAATTCTCATACCAATCTTTTTCCTCTATTTGATGCACCCATTGAAACTTTTCAAGAAATGAGTTTACAAATGCACAGGTTGATTCATCCAACATTACAGCATTTATTTTAAAATTTCCAGTATTTTTTTTTTTTTTTTTTTTTATGTAAGATCATTTGTGTTTTTAATTAATTTCACAAATCTGTTTAGATTACTGTTGATGTGAAACTGAAGTTTTTTTGGGTTTTTTTTTTCATTAGAATATTTTCCTACTGTGAAAAAAACTGCTTTAGTTTGAGCAAGAAAGTCTGAATGAATGTAGAAATCTCTTGCTTATGGTTGTCTAAAACAAGGAATTTCCGTTATAATATTCCGTTTTTCTTTTTTTCTTTTCTAATGTTCAACAAGCAATCAAATCTGTATTCCTTCAAAGTTTTCGTTCTTTATGAACTGCATGATTTCTGCTTAAGCAATAATGATTAACAATTAGGAATATGTCACTTCTACAAGTCAATAAAATAAAAAAAGGTCTTCCTTTAGAAAAGGCAATGTGATAAGTTTTTATTTCAATTTTTATAGCTAAAATAGTTACATTTGTGCATAATAAATGTTTAACTATGTGACCATTTGGAGAAAGAATGCTTTCTCATTTTAACTTTTGTTTTATTTTCTGTACTAAATGGGGTGATGGAGTGCAATATAATCAACCTGTCGTGTGAATGGGACTTTTCATCTATAACA